GGGCCGTGGCCAGGCAGCTCCTGCGCGACGGCAAGAAGGAGTGAGCGGGGCGGGGGCGGGGGCGGGACGCCGGGCGGGGGGCCGACCACCACCTGTCTCCCGGCAGGCGGGCCAGGCTGCTGCTGAAGAAGAAGCGGTACCAGGAGCAGCTCCTGGACAAGACGGAGACCCAGATCACCAGCCTGGAGACCATGGTAGGGCTCTGGCCTGGGGCGGGGGAAGGCCGTGCGTCGGAGCCTGGCGGCACTGAGCCTGAGGACACGCCGCTGGGACTGCAGGGCACCAGGGTGTTCCCTGGGGCCTGACGGGCGCAGTGCCCCTGCAGGCATGGGGACGTGTGGGGGCGAGGTGGGGGTCGCCCGGGTGGCCGCAGCCACGCTGCAGGGCCAGCATGAGGTGTTAGGGTGTGCACGGATGCGCTTGCCTTCTGGAGTGACAGAGAAGCCTGAGCTCTTCGCACCCTTCTCCCCTGTGGTGGGGAGCAGGGAGGGGGAGGGGTCTGCCCCGCCCAGCAGCCGCGTCACGACAGCCGCGGCCCTGCTCCCATAGGTCCAGAGCATCGAGTTCACGCAGATCGAGATGAAGGTGATGGAGGGGCTGCGGGTCGGAAACGAATGTCTGCAGAAGATGCACCAGGTGGGTGGCTGGGGGCGGGGACATGGACCAGGGTGCTGTTTCACATGGAGCACGGGGACAGGATGAGGGGAAGTCGGCGGGGGGTGTTGTGTCCGTGTAGAGCCAAGAGGTAGGACGTGGGGACACTGGCCAGGGCACTGTGTGACATGGAGCACAGGGCTAGGGACACAGGGACATGGGCCAGGGGCACTACAAGCAGTTGTCGCCTGGTTTTAACCTCCCTGCTGGGGTCGTCTGGACGCTGGGAGGTCTGAGGGGCAGTCCAGGAAAGAGTCTGACAGCTTCTGTCCACTTGGCTAGAGTGACAGGGTATAGCGTGTGTGCCTTCAGGGGCAGAGAGGTGGGGTTACATTTGAAGAAGTGAGACTGAGATTGGGTAAAGCTGAGAGGTGGGCATGGCTTAGGGTGGGGCTGAGAAGTGGGTGGGGCTTGGGGTGGGGCCTGGAGGGCAGGGCGGAGAGCTGACTGCACCCTGGTCCTGGTCTCAGGTGATGTCCATTGAGGAGGTGGAGAGGATCCTGGACGAGACCCAGGAGGCCGTGCAGTACCAGCAAGTAGGTGTCGCTGCTTTGTGGGTGAGGGATGGGGACACCTCCTGCCAGCGCTCAGTGCCAATGCCTAGGGCCACCCCTGCCCACACCCTCTTGGCAGCTAACTTCATTCAAGGGAGGGGTGGCTCTGAGCCTGTCTGTCCCTGCTTCCTGGGGGGACGACCCTCCTCAGCCCCGTTCTTCACCGTGGCCCCTGTTTCCCAGCAAATCGATGAGTTGCTGGCAGGAAGCCTCACTCAGGAGGACGAGGACGCCATCTTGAAGGAGCTGGATGCCATCACACAGGTGAGGGGTCTGGGGTGGGGGGCTGGGACAAGGGGCCCCGGAGGGGCTGGGGACGAGGGCCCAAGGCGCCCACTGCGTCAGCCGCGTCTGCAGACCGCTCTTGGTGCAGCCCACATGGTTCACAGTGAGTGCGCCAGCCTGACAGTGAGGACCACATGACAGAGGTTTTCAGGGTCCCTGGCAGACAGTCTGCTACAGGTGCTAGGGTGGCACAGCCGGGGTTTCTCCTGCGCCTCAGCCCCTTCCCACGGTGGCCTGCTTTCTTAACGCTCTGGGTTCTGTCTCCCACCTGAGGGACCACACTGTCCACATAGGATTTGGGCTTCGGGGCCTACTGCTGCCTCGCACCCCTCCACCCAGCCTGCCCCTGCACTCCCGCCCAGGGTCTGCGTGTGCCCCAGGCGCCCCGTCCCAGCCTGCCCCTGCCTGCACTCCCGCCCGGGCCCTGGCGCCCTGTGGTCTGCGTGTGCACCTGGCACCCTGTCCCAGCCTGCCCCTGCCTGCACTCCGGCCCGGGCCCTGGTGCTGTGTCTGCAGGTGCCCCTGGCTTGGGGATTCGGTCTTTTGAAGCCCCTGCCTCTCTTTGCCTGATTCTCGCCCCACTGGGAACCCTGACTGTGCCCTTGCTGCCCCACGTCACTTGCCTGCCGAGGGCTCCCCCGTGGGCCCAGGGCCTTGTGAACTCCCATTAGGCCGGCCGGGAGGGCTCGGCCCCACATGTCAGGCAGGACAGCAGAGGCGCTCAGCGGGGCGGCCCCTTCTCCCACAAACCTGAGCCTCGAGGGGCCACTGGACGCTCGAGCCTGCATGGCGCCAGCGTCACCGGGGCCGCTGACAGCCCCGTTCTGATGAGCTGAGGTCGCTGTTGGACAAGACCTGGCCCTTTAGAGAGAGGCTGCTCGCGGGGGGCTCCAGGGTTTCGCCTCTCAGCCTCCGTCTCTGGTTCTCCCAGGAGCAGATCGAGCTGCCGGAGGTGCCTACAGAACCCCTCCCTGACAAGAGCCCAGGTACCGCCCTCACTGTCTCCTGAGGTTGGGAGCACGTGGGTCACGGGGAGCCTTGCCTTTGGAGCTGGTCCTCAGCCCCCGGGATCGGGGGGCCTGTAAGGTGGGTCCGCCCGTAGAGGAGCTCTAGACAGTAGAGCCGGGCAGGGCCTGTCTGTGCAGGCTCCCCCAGGCCCAGCCCCGAGGTGACCGCCTCGCGGGAGCACGCAGCACACCTCGCGGCACGTTCCCTGGGAGGCGGACTCCCTTTTACACCCACGTGTGCTTCTCTGGGTCCTTCATCCTTCTTGGCGGGTCCCAGGCGCGGGGCTGCCGTTCCGACCTCTGACCCAGCAGTCCAGGGTCTGCATCACCGCCCTCAGCCCCACCGGCTCCCCTTGTGGGGTTCACCTCTGTCTGCACTTGGCACGCTGGCCCCGTGGCGCCTCACCTGGGGCCCCCTGTGCTCAGCTGCCGCCCCAGGGCTGGTGATTCGAATCCCCGAGTGCTCCCCGGAGCCGAGGCCTGGGTCTGCTGTAAAGACTGACCTCAGCTCTGCTCGCTGCACGGCGGCCTCCGTCAACGGAATCGACTGGACGCAGCGGGCTTCTCGGTTTGTATGACAGATTCCTCTCTTTCTCCACAGAAAAGATGCCCATCAAGACCAAGCCCCGGCAGGCTGAGCTGGTGGCAGCCTCGTAACTTGCCCCTCGTTGGACCTGTGGGACATCCCCAGGGACTGTGGCCCCCAAGAGCCGGGAGTGTGGCCAGCGGGCAGAGTGGCTCTCCCAGGATGTCGAGATGTCCTGGCCAAGCTCCGCCCCTCACGGTGTGACCTCCGAGCACCGCCTTGCTCTCCTCTCCAGGTTGAATGACCACGTCCAGACCTCCGGCCTCACACGGCCCGTGCTGGCCGTGACAGTGCTCCAGGGCCACTCACGCTGCCCATCCAGCCACGTGGCTCAGGGCACCTTCTCTGAAGCCTGCTGTCCGTGAGCAGCCCTCACGGAAAGACACCCCAAAACCGATGCCATGCTCCTCCGGTCCCATCCGTCCCGCTGCTGAGGCCTGGCTTCCAGACCTGCCACTGGTCCCCACACACACGAGGGGCCACCCAGGACACTAGCACTCACCCGGCCTCCCGTGCCTGTCTGGGCGGCCCACGTGGACCCCTCACGTTTGGGCTGGTGGGCCAAGAGGATGCCGCCTGCTGGCCTGACCCTCTCCTTGTCACCTGCATGCGAGGGCTTGGCCTGCTGAGAAAGGACATCAGGGCAGTCCAGAGGGAGACAGCCCTGCCCCAGCAGCTGTGGCCGTCGGCCGTGGCTGCCCCCTGGGCTGGGCTCCCAGACCCCCCAGTCCCAAGGGCCAGACCTTCAAAGACAGACTGTGACGTGACTGTTTGTGGGCTTGTTCGCCAGGAGACAATCTCACCAAGCCCCGTCCACCAGGAGCGAGCAGGGCTGCCTTGGGCCTACCAGCAGCAGAGGGAAACCTCCTTCCTGACCCCATGATGGGGTATTAAACCTGCCCCTCTCTGCAGCCCGCTGCCTCAGTGGACTCGGCCGGTGATGAGGGTTGTCAGGGACTGTGGGCCTGGTTCCCTTCCTTGGTGTTCCCTTCAGCACGTGCCTGTTTACCTGTGGGGCTCGGGCTTCCCCCAGAGGGACGGCCCCTTGACTGCTGTGATGTGTGCATGCCTGGGAGGCCCTTGACTGCGAGAGCCGCAGCAGACGGGGAGCCCTTACTGGGGGGGCAGAGGAGAAGGTCGTGTCCAGTGTCACAGGCCTGGGCTCCTGGCGGTCCCTCTGGGCAGCTCCCCTCAGTAAAGAGTGGGTCGCTGGCTGGCTGCCACCCTCCATGTGGCTTCGTGGGGCTCCTACATCTGGTGGCTGGTAGCCAGGGCTTGAAACCCAGGCCTCTTTTTGTGGGGGGGCCTGCTGAAGTCCCCCTTTTGGTTTGACATTGTGTCTGGTGGGAAATGCACTAAGTGGGCAGTGGGGAGAGGGTGTCACATCTGGGGGGCCTTTTGGCACTGCGGGTGCAAACTAGTGCCAGGTCTTACGGTTTTTCCAGAGAAACTAGGGTCTGCCTTAGATGAAGTCTTTCGTCCACATTAAAAGCTGGAGCCAGGGGACAGATCCTGTTTCCCTGCAGTGCACGCTTCAGCCACAGGGGGGTGGGTTTTGCAGGAAAAGCGCATCACCGCCCTAGCACCTGCGGCCCACCCTTCTGCAGCGGCGACCGGGGGAGGAGCAGGTGCCTAGATGGTGGCCAGGCCGAGGCGGCAGCCCAGGAGGGCCCAGGGTTGCATGTCGCAGACTGGGCCCTCCCCACCTCTCCCTCCTCCTCCCTTCAGGCCATGGCCACGCGCAGAGAGGCACGGCACCTGGGTGCCGGAGGGCGGGTGGCATGAGCGCCCCGTGCTTCCCAGTCATGGCCACCAAGTAGGGGCCCTGTGTGGGAGCAGAAGGAAGATACAGCCCCAGAGCACGTGGGCCCCCCAGGCCTGGGCGGGGCGGGCCTTTTCCACGGGAGAAACCTCCACCTCAAACAAACGGGCACCAGGATTAACTGTCCGAAGCGAGGCCGTGAGGCCCTTTCTCGTCTAAGAGAGCAGTGAGCCCGGTGCTCCCGGGCCCTGGAGATTCAGCCAGGGACACCAGCGGCCAGCTGCCTGCCCGCCCTGGTCCTCCGAGAGGGGGCGGCTGCACTTAACGCCTTTTTGTATTTTTAACCAGGTTTTTGGGAACGGTGTCAGGTTTTAGTGTGGTGTGCAGCCCTGTGAGGGCCCTGTCAGGTTTCAGTGGGGTATGCAGTCCTGTGAGGGAGGTGTGGCAGGTTTCAGTGGGGTGTGCAGCCCTGAGTTGTTTTACCGCTGAGCATGTATGTGGCAGGGCATGCACCCACTCAGCCGTCTCTGTACAGCTCGGGGACACTGGTCGCAGCCTTCAGGGTGTGCAGCCCTCCTCGACCTCCGCTCTGATTCCTTCCTGCCCGGTTACATGAACTCACTGCCCCCTAGGCTTCCTGTCCAGCCTCTCAAGTTGCTGTTAACGCTTGATCCCACGTAGGAAGGTCTTATGCAGGCATACCTAGTTAAGCTGGACTGTCGCTTAAAGATGGCTCCGGGGGAAAGTTTTGGTTATGGTTTCAGGGTTGATTATCTCAGCAGTTGTCTTGGGGATTCATCCAGCCTCGACGGCTCAAAAACTCTGGCTTCCGTGAGAACTGAGATGCTCTACAGTTCCCTCCCTTTTGATCAGGAGTCTTGTCTAGAATTTTTAATCAAAATGTTCAGTGATGATAGCCGGACACCATCTAGTTCTGGTCTCATGACAAAGGAGGCATTTGTTCAGAGGCAGCCACCCACTCCACGTCCTGTTCCTGACTCCTCCTGCCTCAGGTGCACTCACCCGCCCAGCCCGGGCAGCCGCAGGGCGGTCTCCCTCCCATCGTCCTGTTTTCTGGGATATGCAAATGGCATCAGACAGGGTACCTTTGGAGGCCACTGCCTTTCAGTCAGCACAGTGCCTTCCAGATGCCTGCATCTGGCCCTGTATGAACAGCCCACCCCCTTCCTTGCCGGGTGTCAGTCCCTGGCTGGAGATGCCACAGTGGTTTGACCACCCACCCACTGGAGGGCAGTAGGTGGCCGGCACTTGGGGAAGAATTGTAGCTTGAGCTGCTGCAAAGGTGCTAACCACACCCACACGCACCCCCCAACCCCACTCACCTGGCCCCTAGCCACAGCCCACACATATCCCACCAACTCAACCCGGGTGGAGTCTGCTATCTCCAGCAAGGCCACCCACGCAGAGCTGGGCGGCAGCAGGAGGTGCTTGGAGTGTTGCCATGGCAACACCAAGGGGCCCCTGGCCAGCTCTGGAGGAACTGGTTGGTTCCGGTTCCCCCTTTCCCAGGACAGTGAGCCTGCTGTGCACCACACACCAAACTCAGGGACTGGGGGCATGAAAGACTGGCCATCCCTCCATACACAGGTGTGCGCATGCACGTGCTCATGCGGACGTCTCCCAAGTGCTGGCAGGTCAGCTGTGGGGTTTGGTGTGGAGGCTGGCCTCTGGGCCAGATAGTGACCGTGTGGAAGAGGACCTCCCTGCCGTCACCTGGACCCCTGGGACCTGTCGGCCAGGGACAGCCAATATGACAGGTGGGAGCACCCACACTTCCCGGTCCCTCCCTAAAGTTCTGCTCCCAGAGCTTTCCTGAGTGACCCGCACATGACCCCCCTGATCCCTGGTGCCCACTGGCCTTGTTCTCGGGCCTCATCTGTATGTGGTAGGAGTCTGAGAAGTCTTGGGGCCAGTTCCTGGTTTTCCCCCCACCCACACCTGAGGCCAGGGGCTCAGGTGGCAGAGTGCCTAAGGCATCTGACTGCTAAGCAGAAGGCTGGCGGTTCAAACCCACGAGCCACTCCTCAGAAGGAAGGTTGGGCAATCTACTTCCGTAGTGATGTCGCCTCGGAAACCCAAGGAGGGGTCGCTATGAGTCGGGTCTGACAACAGCAGTGGGTTTTACACCCGAGGCCAGAGCAGGCAAGCCTTCTGTGGAAGGTGGCTCTCAGCTCCAACTTCTGGGATGAGCCAGGTGTCCTGAAGAGAGGAGCCCAAGTTCCGAACATGAACCCCCAAGAGAAGCCCCTGGGACGGGCCCAGTGCTTCCCGGGAGACAGGCTCCCAACACTCCAGAGAGATCACCTGTTTTCCACAACAGATTTATTGCACTAAACCCACGTCCTGTATAGTTCCCTGTTTGAAGGGCGTGGTCCTGTTGTCAGTGTGGCCACAGCACCGTGCACCCACCACCACAGTCCATGGAGGAACACTGCCGCGACCCCAGAGGAAACCCCTTAGCGGACCCCTCTCCTGGTGCTTCTCTGACTGCGTCACCGCCCTCAGGGTGGTGCTTTCAGGCTCACCGTGCCCGTCTGTGGCCGAGTCACTCTGTTGACCCATCATCTGCTGACGGACACAGGTCACTCCCAGCATTTGGCTGCGCTGAAGAATGTTGCCGTGAACATGGGTGTATGATTCCTGCCGGGTCCCTGCTTTCAATTCTTCTAGGTAGTTTAGGCGTGGAATTGCTGGGTCGTATGATAATTCTGTGTGTAACTGTTGGAGCTGCTACATCGTTTCCCATAGCAGCTGCAACACTTGACATTCCCACCAGCAGCACACAAGGCTCTGATGTCCAGATCCTCACGAGCATGTGTTGTTTCTGTCTTTTTGATCAGAACCATTCTAGAGGGGGGAGCTCTGGTGGCGCAGTGCCTAAGACTGCTAACCAGAAGGCTAGCGGTTCAAACCCACCAGCCATTCCTCAGGAGGAAGACTGGGCAATCTCCTTCCACAATGATACCACCTCAGAAAACCAAGGAGTGGTCTCTGAGTCAGATCTGACTCGACGGCAGGGAGTTTTTTATTCTAGAGGGGGTGCACTGATAGTATCTCTCTGATGGCTAATGACACGCCCATCACCAATTGCGTGTCTTCTTTGGTGACATGTAAGTGGGTTATTTACTGTTTTAGGATTGAGTTGAAGGTTCGTCCTGTTCTAGACAAGGCTCCTTATCAGAAGACGCCTGAGGGGGGCTTTCTTGCCCTTTGCTGGCTGTCTTCACATCCCTGACGGGGAAGTGGTTCACGTCGATGGAGTCCAGTTGACTGTCCACCTGCTCACGTCCTGATCCCGGC